AGACCCCGCTTGGCTTCCAAGATCTAATGAGATCGGGCTTAGCTTCCAAGATCTGATGAGATCTTGGTCAGGGCGGAGACAAACACAGGTGGTTTGCCATTGCCAGCCTCTGCGTAGCAACCCTGGAGGTCGTCGCCCATCCAAGTATTAACCAGGGCCGACCCTGCTGAGCTTCTGAGATATGACAAGATCAGGCTGGCTTGGGCTTCCAAGTCAGGGCGGGTGTTGAAATGGCCTCTGGGAAATATGCAGAGAAATATCGGAAATAGGACTCTGGAAGAAAGCCCTGAAAACAACAAATATTTTTTCTTCAATAAAGTGTGATTAAAGGTAAAGGTTCCCTTGCTCGAAAGCCAGTCGTATCCGACTCTAGGGATGCGGTGCTCATCTCCGTTTCCAAGCCGAAGAGCCAGCGCTGTCCGAAGACATTTCCGTGGTCATGTGGCCGGCATGACTAAACACCAAGGCGCACGGAACGCTGTCACCTTCCCACCAAAGTGGTACCTATTTATCTACTTGCATTTTCTTGCTTTCGAACTGCTAGGTTGGCAGGAAAAGTGTGATTATTTCAATATTAATGTGGTTATTTCTTAAACAAAACTATTCGTCTAATACAAAACCTATTCCAAATAATCACAACAGAGAAGTAAAGTAACAGCCATCCAACTCATGAGTTTACAAACAGTAAACCAGTGACTCACAAGTAGATGGCAAGTCAACAACTGGAATGTTCTAATGCTGTAAGGGTAATGCGATACTCAAATAGATCCGCTCTCGGTCCAAAGTACGAGATCCAGAGTCCAAATTATGAATTCCGAGATGAGGTTTCCGGATTTAATTGCACTCGTTTTGAATAAACATCAGCACTTTCAAGAAGTTTAAAATTGTTAGGAAAGTTGTTTGGAGCAATAGGGTGTGACCCCAGGGTTGGTGTATCAGCTCCATTCACCGAAAGACACACAGTAACGTACAATATTAAGGCACCAATCCCATTTCTTATAGAGATCAATGATTCGAAAGGTTCCTAAGGCTGGGAGATGCAACTTTGGCTAGAAAATGAGGGCCACTGAGCATGTACAGAATACTTTCCCATCCCCATTGAGTATGCCCTCTGGAATTAGAGGCTGGATGTTGGATCAGGCCAATGGCCCATCCAGTCCAACACTCTGTCACAAAGTGGCCAAAAACACCAGGGGCCATCAGGAGGTCCAGCAGTGGGGCCAGGACACTAGAAGCCCTCCCACTGTTGCCCCCCCCAAGCACCAAGAATACAGAGCATCGAGTTGAACAGCATGGGAGTCAGACCTGTGACATGAGAAACTGTAGTCTCCCACCACAACACAGAGGGTTCTACAATCCCAGAAGAACTGGAGCACTGCAAAGTGGTGTACCCACCTCCCATTAGCATTATTCTGGGAAGTGGAATTTCTTTTTCTGACAGTCACTTTTTAAAGTTCTAGCCATTCATTCCTCTAATTCATTTTTCTTTTTCAAAAGAAGAATTTATTTAATTTCTCCTTGTAGTTTTCTGCTATACCCCTACGTGTCTTTTGGTAACATCAGCTCTTGAAAGGTTGGTGTTTTCTTTTGTTTTTATATAACACAAAGAGCTCTAGCAGGAGGATAGGAACTTCTACAGAACGGAATTCTAAAATTGTGTAGAACTATCCTTTGTTTGAATTTCTCTTTTGATAAATATGGAATTGATTTCAAACAAGCTCCAAAATCCCCAAAAGAGGGAAAGAAAATCATTTTTCGGGTACACAGAGAGAATTAACATAATTCCTCTTAATAATTCTATCTCCTGTATCAAAAGATGATGTTGAACACAACTGAGAGGTCCAGCAGAATCAGCACTGTCATCCCCATCACTCCCCCAGCGAAAGTCCCTGAAAGGTGAGCAGAAGCCCAACTGAATCAGCTTCTTCCAAATATTGCTGTTGACCAAAAGTATAAGGCACTTACATACATGTGATTATACAGCAAGGAAAGTCTATTTGTTTTAAGCTGCATCCTGATGAGTTCTAACCATTTGATTAAAATGATGGTGAGACTAGGGGTGTGCATTTTTTTTTAACTGGTACTTTTCGGTTTGAGTCTATTGGACACCTCAGCTCCTAATAGGTAAAGGTTCTCTTGCTCGAAACCCAGTCCAATCCGACTCTAGGGTTGCGGTGCTCATCTCCGTTTCAAAGCCGAAGAGCCAGCACTGTCCGAAGACATTTCCGTGGTCATGTGGCCGGCATGACTAAACACCAAGGCGCACGGAACGCTGTTACCTTCCCACCAAAGTGGTACCTATTTATCTACTTGCAATTTCTTGCTTTGGAAATGCCAGGTTGGCAGGAGGTTCCTATCTATACCTTGTGGCTAAGAGCCACTGAGGGACCTCTGCTCCATGTTTATCCAGTTCCCTCTTGAAGCCGTCCATGCTTGTAGCTGCCACCCCCTCCTGTGGCAGAGAATTCCATGTGTCAATCACTCTTTGGGTGAAGAAGGACTTCCTTTTGTCCGTTCTAACCCAACCGCTCAGCAATTTCATGGAGTGCCCACGAGGAGTTCTTGTATGGTGAGAAAGGGAGAAAAGGACTTCTTTTTCGACCTGCTCTATCCCATGCATAATCTTATAAACCTCGATCGTGTCACCCCTCAGCTGTCGTTTCTCCAAGGCCTCTGGCGTAGAGTTGTGGCAGGCAGCGGGCTCGCCCCCCCCCCTCCCCAAGTCCGAGCATGTGCGGGAGGACCTGTGGCTTGCTCTGTTCTTGCATCATCCACTTCTGACGCTGCATGCTGGAGCGAGCATAGCGCCAGTCTCCTCCCCTGACCCACGACGCAAGCCCTTGGCAGCTGTCTAAAGGGGCGGCCTTCCTGCCAACTTAGTTGCATTTTCGTTGCTGGCGTGCGCGTGGGAGAGCCAAGGGACCGGCTAACCACCTTCCCCGGGGGAGGCCACCGGCTTCCGCTTGTTTACAACAGAAGCGCTCTGCTCTGTAGCTCAAGGGAACGTTTTTGCGTGGGAAAGGTTATGCAGCGCCCCAGCGGCGGAGCGGGACCTTGAGCCAGGCTTGAGTGGAGCCCCACCATCGTTGCTGATCCCAGGGCGGTCTGAACAGGGCAACCTCTGCAGTGCGGCCCTTGCCGCTGGGTTTCAGCTCTGGGCCGAGGGTTGCCAACCTCCAGGCAGGAGCCTGGAGATCGGGAACTGTGACTGTGATCTCCAGACTACAGAGATCAATTCCCATGCAGGAATTGGCAGCTTCAGAAGGCGGACTCGGTGGCGTTCGACTCTGCTGAAGACCCTCCTCAGGTTCCCCCTAAGAGTTGCCAACCTCCAGGGGCTGCCTGGAGAGCTCCCAGAATTGGCACTGGTCTCCAGAGGTCAGTCCCCCCCCCCCCGGGACAGTCTCTTGAGCCACTGAGGGACCTCTGCCACTACTCCACTTGCACCTGGCTGGATGACCTTGGGCAAGCCGTTGTTCTGATAAGAGCTGTCCTTGAAAAAGAGCCATGTCTGTCAAGAGCTCTCTCAGCCCCACCTACCTCACAGGGTGTCTGTTGTGGGGAGGGGGAGGGAAAGGAGATTGTAAGCTGCTCTGAGACTCCCTTGGGTAGTGAAGGGCGGGGTATAAATCCAATATCTCTTTCTCTCTTTCTTTCTTTCTCTCTTTCTTTCTTGTAAGCCGCTCTGAGACACCTTTTGGTAGTGAAGGGCAGGGTATAAATCCAATCTCTCCTTCCTTCCTTCCTTCCTTCCTTCCTTCCTTCCTTCCTTCCTTTGATTTTTCTTCCCACCCTCCCAGCCAAGGCCGGTTCAGGGCGACTTACACAAAACCAACACACAATTACCATAAAACATAATTAGAAGCGCGATCCCCCC